CTTCTTCTCCTCCTCTCCTCCTCTCTCTCTCTCTCTCTCTCTCTCTCTCTCTCTCTCTCTCTCTCTCCTTATTTGAACGTATTTCGTATTATTCGCGAAGGAAGCAAAAAGGCTGCGATATTAAGATTTAAATTGAGAAATATTTCCAAGTTTCTTTTGTACAACTGTGTGATATTTTTTTATTATCTTAATTATTAATTCTCATCCGCGTGTAATTCAGGGATGGGAAATATAGTAGGCGGTTATTTTCCCTTGGATATTATACACACACAGGCCTTTGCTCTCCTGTTTATTCCACGGTTATTTCCGTCAAAAGGGGGGGTAAATCTGGCAGCCTTAGTTTACAAAGGATGCACGGGGCTGACTTGCGAGACGGATTGATGTCCCAGCGGGTTAACGCGTGCGCTGTCTTGTAACGCGCACTTCATAATAGCATTACAGGAGTTTCGCTTTATCAACGTCGACGATAAAATGTATATACTTGTTGATACCTTCTCGAGGCGCTATTGTTGATCGTTATTTTACTTTTTAACGATACACCACCCTGGTGCGGTAATCTAGATCCCGCGCTTTATGACTCCGTGTAATATTAAATGCGATGATGAGCGATCTATTTCTCGCACCTTTGTACCGTTAATTCATTCATTGTTAGCGACATTACGTACGAATAATTAATCATTTATACGCCCGGTCGGGGTATCAACGGGGGGTTGTAAGCCTCCGCAATCGAAATCCCCCTAGCGAGATGTTTCCCATCTTATGTACGCATGTCTTTCCGAAGCTCAAATCTCTCTTCCGCCTTTACGGAATTCTCCCGCTACGTTCCGTTCCCGTGCATACATCTGTTATCTTTTCGTTCTCCCTTTTTTTTTATTTTTATTTTTTTATTTATTTTTTTTTTTCCCCCCTCTTCTCCGCCCGTCCGTCCGATACGACCGCATCCTGCAAATCCGCGCACGTCTGCAACTGCGCTTTCGTACTTTGGTAAACTTGCCCCGCGATGAATCCCAGGCAAAACTCCAGACATGCTAAATCCGGAGATTGGGTTGTCCAGGGTCACGAGGATGGATGCGTTCCGCAATACACTTGAGAAATTTTAGCCGTGCAGAGATATTGCCGATGCGCCAGCATTTGATCTTGTATATCTTGTCCCGATGGGAGTCCGAGGATAGTGAATTCTGTCGCAAAATTTTCCTTGACCAATCCGCAATAGAGTCTTCCTCGAGAGACGTCTCGCCGCTGGTACATAACTTTCCGCAAATGAAAATTCAAATTGGATACGGCTTTCAAACATTCGAATAGATAAAAACCTTAGTTTTTTTATTTAACTGCAAATGAGTCTTAATCTTCTCGCGATCGTCTCTTTGTATTCAGTTTTTTTTTTTTTTTTTTTTTTTTTTTTTCCAGAGGGAAGATTAATTTGTTACGCATCGGAAAATCTATTATTATTAATAAATTTGAACTTATTACGTTGTACAATATAATCGTATTATTGCAAATATATATATATGTATGTATATACATCTGTGAAGATTATACGCGAATCTGCGCAGCTGAATATATGAATTAACGCGCATAAAGAGCTGTTTATACATCCAATCGACAAAGCTAACTCGTAGGCAGAATATAACGAACACGTTCGCAGAAATACAAGACGTACTAATTTCGGAGTTGAGTTCTGTTCGGTGTAAACCAACGTCAATAGAACGTGATATCCTTTTACGAAATATCCCAGAATGTTTTCTCAAACACGACGACGAAGGACTAAAATGAAATTTATCTCGCACATTTTTAATTAACATTAAGACATACGTAATGATTTAATATCGAGAATTCAGTTAAGTAAATTCGTTTTTCATCCAGCTTTGAATCAACTTTGTTTTAATAGGATTTTCATTCAGTTGAAAATATTTAATATGTTCATAATTGCGATCGAAAGAAGTAATGTAATTAATATTACGAGACTTAAACTTGTAATATCAGAAATCAGCTCTCTCTCTCTCTCTC